TTTTTGGTGCGTATTAATGGTTCAAATTCACTGAGAAGTGCCTTGGTTTCTTATTCAGACCAGGTACTTTTCCTTTGTCTTTCCTTTTTCCTTTAAGTAACAATATTATCTAGTTAGTTGAGCCATCAGTTCAAAAAATGACCCCCCACATATATTGTATATGATCATGGTATGGCAAATTTGGCAGTCTAAATCTAGACATAAAGCAGAGGATAAGGAATCAATATCATATTGTTACCCCCCCCCCCCCCAAAAAAAAAAAACAAGAAAAAAAAAACAATAAACAAAAGAATGTAATGACAAAAACATAGCAAAACCCTTTTTGCACCTTTTATAATAAGTTTTATATTTTCATTGATTGTACAACTTTTTCTTGTCAGTGGTGTTGGAATTTTTTTGTTAACTGTAATGATCAGAAAGTATCTATGTATTACTGTAAAGGAATTAAATATTAAAAGCATGGAGAGTGCTTGCACTTAAAGCGTGAAACAAATAGTACTAATTACTACTAAATAGTGTTGATTATACAATAGGAAACAAAGGAATTTGTATAATTTATCACCTATTTTGTAGTATCTATATTTCACGCATTTGGTGCGAGCACTCTAACATAAATACTATTAAAAACTACTAAATTATGCTCTCTCTCTCTGACTAATTGTATGAATTTGTCTGAGTCATGAATCCTGCAGTTATCAAGGACAACAACGGATCTCCTTTCACCAAGTGCAAAGTTTCCAATATAAGGAGCTATCATATGTTCTATAGCAAAGTTAAAATCTTGAGTACTAAAGGCACCAGGAATTGTGTGAGTTGCAACTATACCATCTATGTCCATGGCAGCTAAAACACTGTATCGGTCTTGTCTGATGAAATGGCCAACAAAATCTGCATTGTGGTCAGGATAGAAATGACCCCAGATTCTCTGTAATATCACATTATTTGCTTATTAGCCCAGCATATTGATAAAATTGATGATTAGTATAAAAATAGATATTAATTTGATTGATTAAAATACCAAAATGTGAGTGGGTCTAATTGATAACAATTTTTGATAGGTCAGTTAACTGACCTATCAACTGACCTATCAAAAAGTTTATATAAGCTTAGCTATGAAATAGAAACTGGAAAAAATCAAACAAAGCATGGCGTGAGCTCACAGGAAATATTGATATGAGCTAGATCTCACTGTGCCAAATGCATAGAGGCAGATCTTCTTTGACATAACTATTTTTTTTGGCTTGTGTCTGCAGTCACACTATTGGTCACCTATACTCATAACATCCTAAAAGCATTATTGCATGTTATTGACATTCCTGTACATGGATATGTGAGCTAATATGAATTATGCCAAATTCATGAGATACTTTTTACCTGCAATCTACTCTTATCTTTTGCCGACTCATCAAGAAAGAGGAGCATTTCTCTTTGAAATTCTGAAATTAACCTGCAGTAATTTCCTCTCTCTTTATCAGAACGTTGGATGGCAATTATTTTGAGCTGTAAAAAGTAATTCATTYGCATTAGTGTCACCATACACGTACAGACTAATTTTTTAGTACAGACTAATTTTTTAGTGTGTTTATAATATGTAAATTACAAATTGGAAATTAATTTTAAAAAGTTTGAATCAATGCAATTGAGAAGAATATCAACTAARCTTGATTAAAAAATATTTTCTATCTGATTTATAGTTTAAATTTGGCTTTATTASCTTGTAAACATCAAATGCAATGCAAATAATACTTTGCACAATTAGGTATAGCTATATTTTACATAAATGTTATTTAAGCACCATATAAGATTTGAGAGCATATTTTTATATTATTATTCATTTTGAATGAGCTATAGTTGCAAATAAATTACCTTCTTATGATTAAAACCAAGGCGTATGATTGACCTGCACAAGGTTGAAGWACTGACTACTTTGCCTGTTAGCTGGGCATACTACGTTTGATACTCATCCAAATACAGTTCAGGCTTTGTAAGAACCATGAACTTGAGGGTGTTGTTTTCTGCATCTTGAAAAGATATTCTTATGATGAACTAACACACACATTTTTTTCTTTTCTTTCGTTATGTCAACAAGTTAAGTTTACAATAAAAAATTATCAAGCAAGCAAAAGAATAATTGCAACATTGTTGTTTAAATTAAAGGTTGAAAACGAAGTAACTTATGTTTAAATGTAACCTTCTTTCCAAGAAATAAATATATTCTGATTCGTATTACTGTAAAAACCCTGATTGATTGAATACAAGTTTACAATGACACTTACATGTGAGAAGTCGAGGCCTTCCACGCCGTGTATGTACAGCAACATTTCCTGTACGTTTGTAAAGTTGTCGAATTTTACAAACAAACTATGACTGAGTGGAACGTGGCACATAATGAAAAATCAAATTTCTTTATATTTCGTCCATAGATGCCCTAACGACTCCTAAGAATCGTGGTGGTATTTTTTTTCTCGGGGATTAAATTTAAATTCGAAAAATTAACGATTTTCTCSAACCACCCCCAAAAGCGGCAAAGCGTGTAAATTTCAACCGAAAAATCGCACCTAAATTCAACAGAATTCTCACTTTGCATCAACTCAAATCAGAAAACTAACTTCATAGCATTCTTCCGGAAGTTCAGACGAGTAATTTGAGCCTAACTATTACTTCTTTACGCAAATATTTTGGCYGCCAGGAGTCGTTAAAGACAACCCAATTTTCGCTCGRCAAAATGATTACATTTTTCTAAAGAAAATAAATAATTCCGGGCAAATCACAAATCAGCATAATACATATTTCCTAAAAGTAGAAACACTGATCTAAACAGTGATGTAAAAATTATTGCGTGGCTCTTTGAAAACACAACGGAAACGAAGCTCTCAAAGATGACAATATAATGTTACTTAACCGGCTTTCATCTGTCAACAAGGTCACATGACACACTCACCTTGAAAACAAAACAAGTCCACATTAGTCCTGAAACCAGAGATTTACTCGAATAAATCCATAAGATGCACCACAGAAGCTGCCTTGTATAATAAATCTTCACATTTTTGGCTCTGATCCGTATTTTGGCAAATAGAGCGGGCTCACGCTCGGTACATCTTATGTCATATTCTTTGTTGAATGAGAAATTGCTAAATTGCAGAAGCATAGGGTGTCCTTAAAGAATTTTTAGAGCTCATGTTTTTTTAAATACTTGTCCGTCAATCCCTGCAAATACCGTCTTCAAGCATATTGAAATATCGATCGGTTACGTCACTTTGCGTCACGCAATCTCCCCGCAATAATAATAAATTTTCTTTCACCCGATTGACGGCCAAATATAGCAAGATAATTCCAACTATAATCACAACATTCTGTAAAGTTTTTATTTAAATGATAAAAAACTTGCTTCTACTTCACTAGCAAAGTTGACGAAAGTACAACTTTAAAACATTTGTACATAATGTAATGTAAATATATAGATTCGTATTTTTAGTTTTATATTGTATCATATGTATTTGTTTAATTGTATTTTTTTGTCATTGAGGGCCACCTGGAAATCATAATCCATGATAACGGATGGCCCTAAAATACACAAAAAATGAATGGTCGATTATTATTTGGCTTCTATGGACAAAAAATTAGTAGCTTSAACTTTAATCTAACAACAGCTTCCATTGATTAACTTGAAGCAAAATATCATAAGAACGACTAAAGAAAACGTTTTTAAAAAAAGGTAACAARAATATCACCGCCTCCAGATTTAACTAGCTCTACTGCTTACAGCTGCATGAATTGCAAAGTGCATTCAATCTGTCAATATAGGGTTGCTTGCGCTTTGCCTTGATATCGCTTATATCGATACCAAAGTGGCTACACATTGCCTTTAGGACGGGTACTGCAAATTTTCCAAGTTTACCCTTGGAAACCAGGTCACACAGGTTGTGTGAGTCGTACACCACAGGATGCTTTAAAGACAGCTCATCAACAGCGACTGCCAATAACTCATGGGCGTTAGCTTCTTGCGACGCAGATTCAAGGACTTCAAGCTCATCTTCGTCTGGCACAAGGGCTTTCTTTGAGGCAAGTCTAGAGAAAAAGCTTGCCACTTGTTTAGCGGTTAGAAACTCCTCAAATGCAAATAGCCGTGAGCCATCTACATCCTTGGCTCATCGCATTGATTTAGCTACTACTGCTGGGTCAGCCTTGTGATGAGATATCTCTYCTATCTTAAATTTGCCTTCGAGATAGGAGCGTTGCGCAGGCGTAAATCGTCGTCTTCCCTCGTTGGCTTTGAGTGCCCAGCCCATACCTAGTCGTATTGGTGTCYCCGAAGTTGATGCTGTAGTTTCTGCTCTTATGACAGGAGCAGCCGCAGTGTTCTCCCCCTCTAGAAGCTCAGYGTACTTTCGGGCAGATACATCGAAAAGTGTCTCCCGCTCTAAGGTGAACTGATGTTTTCCACAGTCAAGATGACGTAACATGGACGAGTGTCGCAAGAACGTTTTCTCGCAGCCATCTTCAGGACAGTAAAACAGACCATCAACTTCCTCTTGTTTCGCTAATGGCTGGTTCCTTTGTTTGGCTTTAGCTTTGTCCCTTTTAACCTTGCGGTGCTTCACAGTAGAGAAGCTGCTTTCATGAACTTGTAAGACGACAACTTCAGGTAATGAATCTGTGGGGGCAGCGGTCTTCGGCTTCACAATCTTCCCCTCACCAATGCCATAAGCACGCCAAGCGCGAATACCCTGGGTCGAGTATTCGATGTTTGATAGCAAACTTATACCATCAATCTTGTGTGTTGGCACTTCCCCTTTCACTGAGTCACAGAGAATAACGCTGAGGGATGGTATTCCGTCACTTGACAACATGGCTTCAAACATTTGCTCGGGTGAATTTGTCCGGCATTTAAATAGATGCTCATGTGGGACTTTGTGGTGGCCGCTTTCCGGTCACACGCCCCTTTTCCTCCTTGGGGGTCGGAAAAATCGAGGCGTTTCAGTGTAATATCTGAAGTTTTGCTAAGCACACTGCCAGAAACTATAGTTTGGGCACTGTGATAGCACACAGCATTGCCGATAGTAAAGTGTTGAGAGTGAAGGCATGGCTTTTTTAAGCSTTTGGATTACATCATCCATTACAGCAACTACCGCTTCGCTTTCCTGGGTAACATTCTTAAAAATATGACAAAAAGTCATAATTTCAAGTTCCTCGTCAACCTTTCTAAAGGCCACACTAATGTGCCAAGGAATACCGCGCTTGCCAAACCAGYCGGTTTGACTCTCACGGTATTTCCTTGGCAGGTACTTCATCGCCCAATCCTGTATCACGAATACAGAGTCGTCACCGAGGAGTGCTAGTACGTCTGTCCTTGTGGTATCTTGATGTATGGAGCGCAGGATGTGGGCCTTCCAAGCCAAGATACTCGATTTGGACTGCTTAGCAACGAATCGGAGGTCTTCAAACTCGTCCTCAGACATGGAATCTTTCCGTTTCTCAATGGCGCCATCTACATCATCAAGCACCGACATCATTTCTTCACAACGGTCACACTGATGGTCGTGCTTATGATCACAATCAATCCGGAATGCTGCAACCTTAGGATCAATAAGAGCGAATCTTCTGCAGTGATCGGCCACTGTAGAGGTCTCTGAAACATGCACCTGGAATTCAAGGAATACTATTCAGTTGCCATGCTCTAGGCAAGAGGCTGTTTTGAAAGGCTGTGACACTAGTACACGCCTGGCAGTTTTCAGCAAAAATTTAAAAGGCTTGCAATCCAATGCGAAATTGACTGGTAAATTGTAYTTGTTAAAAWTTTTACATTTAATGTTATAGACACTAAAATATCTTACCTTGTAATCACTTTTCAGGTAGCGTTTAGAAGTGCGAAGCCTGTCCTGAATATTCTTGCCCCAGTCCATATCTTCATGACCACCATCTGTTAATTGTTCCACGACTTCCAATAGGTCATCAAATCCCTCTGCACCCATGGAGCTCACATAATCGAGACCCTGCAGAGATTTACGTGTGGAAGCTGTGCAAACCTTTAAAATTCGAAGCAAAGTAGAGCGGCTCAATGGCTTTCTTTTTAACYCCTCACACAAGGCAAGGTATTGCTTCACTATTTGCTCGKGGATCAAAGTCCTTATGACGTTGGGGATCTTGATCGCGTCATTATTGCTTAACTGTATCATCCGTTCGCCAAAAGGCAAGTCTTGGACTACGTGCGGACTTGTAATAAACGTTATGAAGTGTTCAACTTGGGGAATTGAAAAGTCCTGTCGTATGACCTTTTCTTGTGGTACTGGTGCCCCTCGGCCATAAACAATACAATGGCGTTTTGCCTCTGTAACCTTAGTTTGTGTGAGTTCAGGTATATATCGTTGTAAGGTCTTGAGGCGCAACTTGTCGGCAATAATAYTGAGGAATTGGCGTCGCATGCTCCAACGACCTGCAGCCTGGTAACATGCAGAGAGCGATGCCATGAGCGTCTCGTCTACGTTCTCGTCTTCAGACTCTTCATCACTTGACGATAGCTGGCGTCGAAGCATTTGCGAAGACTTGACCTCGCGAAACAAAGGGCCGGCGTCATTTGGGCTTATGTCATGGACAACAGAGGCAACCACCTGGCCTGCTTTTCTTACGTAGTATCGCTTTGTTCGGGCACTGGCACTTTGCCAAGGTGTTCGTAGTTGTGCCCTTACAGGACTCACATCTCTTGATTGTAAATATGCGTTAAGATTATTGAGGTTTGACTTGACTGCGCTGACATCTTTGTTATCTTCTTCTTCGTTTGACGCATCACTAAGCCTTGGTACATAACCAGGTGTTTCAGGGATCGGCGGAAGTTCGCCCTAGATATATGGAAGGTTTTGTTTATGTTTACGAGCAATGAACACTAAAGACTTTTTACTTCTATTTGATAGAGATTCTCGACCTGCGYCGTCAACTTCCCACCCAACCCAAGGGTAGTCTCTCTCACAGCCGTATTTCCGGTGTCGTCAACTAAGGGCGAATCAAAAAGAGGTGTCCCACAGTAATGTTTTTAGCCCCAAATTTCCTGCCAATGTGTATGGTGCAAAAACGACCACAGGGCTTCCAAGCAATAAACGACTCGCACGTACATTAATTTAAGAACAGAAAAATATAGTTTATCTACATGCTTTTCTTTCGACATATAACAACGATACTACATAGTTAATTATGAAAATGACACCGAATAGGGTGTCCGCTGCACCGCACAACACCCCACYAAATCGGCCCCTAGGCCCACACTGACTTTTTGATTATTATCTCTTGCATGACGACAATTCTACTATGTCTGTATTACGAGGATACTTGGTATCAAGGCCACAAGGACCTCCTACTAACTTCGAAAAAGAGCACTCTTTCTCCATACTAGTCGACCATGTTGAACTTGCGCTGGACAAGAAGGTAAATACAAAGGTGATACTATAGACGGTATCAGCGTAAACAGCACCAATATGAGTATCAAGGCTTTCAATCAAGTACTAGTGTTCCTCTAGATCGAGTTTCTTTGTCGAAAATAAATAATATCTTTGTAAATCCTGATTTAAGTTTTAGAAGTCTTCTCTAACGTGAGATATAAATGTTCTTGCAACTAGAGTTTAGTATTTATTTCGCGATATCAATTTACATTACGTCACGCGCCGCTTCTGTCACGCAAACCACCCCACATTCCAGCGGTCTTTCTATGTCGTAAATTAAAGAGACGACAAATTCGCTTTTTAAAGCAAAATCTGATAAATATTTGACCACATAAGTTGCTTTGGTACACCTGGTGGTATTTTACATGGAAACAAGTGGTTTTTATAGGAGGTTTTATTTCTTTCTGGACTGTAAAGGTGAGTGTGTAATGTGACCTTGTTGACAGATGAAAGCCGGTTAAGTAACATTATATTGTCATCTTTGAGAGCTTCGTTTCCGTTGTGTTTTCAAAGAGCCACGCAATAATTTTTACATCACTGTTTAGATCAGTGTTTCTACTTTTAGGAAATATGTATTTTGGCTGATTTGTGATTTGCCCGGAATTATTTATTTTCTTTAGAAAAATGTAATCATTTTGCCGAGCGAAAATTGGGTTGTCTTTAACGACTCCTGGCGGCCAAAATATTTGCGTAAAGAAGTAATATTTAGGCTCAAATTACTCGTCTGAACTTCCGGNGACCTCGCTGGGATTCGAACCCACGACCTTCGGATTTGTACACCGATGCTCTACCAGCTGAGCTACAAGGCCAGACTGGGAGCAGGTCGGGGTGAAATAGATGTTAAGGTTGCGGTAATAGAATAATGTAAAGATATGAATATGAAGACCGCATGGCACTATGATAAACACGATATAGAAATGAAAGAAAGTTATAGTGCTTAGAAGGAGGCAATTCCGGGAGAAGTCCCTTAGGAATAAATTCGGAAAAATTAATTTCCGACCTCGCTGGGATTCGAACCCACGACCTTCGGATTTGTACACCGATGCTCTACCAGCTGAGCTACAAGGCCAGACTGGGAGCAGGTCGGGGTGAAATAGATGTTAAGGTTGCGGTAATAGAATAATGTAAAGATATGAATATGAAGACCGCATGGCACTATGATAAACACGATATAGAAATGAAAGAAAGTTATAGTGCTTAGAAGGAGGCAATTCCGGGAGAAGTCCCTTAGGAATAAATTCGGAAAAATTAATTTCCGACCTCGCTGGGATTCGAACCCACGACCTTCGGATTTGTACACCGATGCTCTACCAGCTGAGCTACAAGGCCAGACTGGGAGCAGGTCGGGGTGAAATAGATGTTAAGGTTGCGGTAATAGAATAATGTAAAGATATGAATATGAAGACCGCATGGCACTATGATAAACACGATATAGAAATGAAAGAAAGTTATAGTGCTTAGAAGGAGGCAATTCCGGGAGAAGTCCCTTAGGAATAAATTCGGAAAAAATTAATTTCCGACCTCGCTGGGATTCGAACCCACGACCTTCGGATTTGTACACCGAATTTATTCCTAAGGGACTTCTCCCGGAATTGCTTATATTTTCAAAATTTGTTTTCCTAATTTCGTCAAGGGGGATTTTTCTTCCTTCAATGATGAATTCTGTTGTTTGAACACTGCCATCTTTATGGAGAAAGCAAGCGAAAGGGAAATTGTTTTTCTCTCATGGGACGAACCATAGTAAAGGTGTTATGATTCTCCTGAGYAATTCTCTTGACTTTGAGATTAAAAAKGAATTGATTGACGCTGACGGTAGATTTATTATTTTGGATGTCATGATACAAAACTCTCCCTTTCTTTTAGTAAATGTCTATGCACCTGATAAAGTAAGCGAACAACGTTTTTTTTTTAAATCTCTTAAAGAAAAAATAGAAAACTTTGACAGAAGAGAAATTGTGTTAGGTGGCGACTTGAATATCATGATGAACCCTGATCTGGACGGCTCCGGCGGAAAATTATCGAAAAAGGCTTCTATTGACGAATTAGAGGACTTAATGATTAATTTGGACCTTTGCGACATATGGCGAATTAGAAATCCAAAAAGAAAAAGATATACCTGGCGACAAAATAAACCTGTTATTCAAAGGCGTTTAGATTATTGGCTGATAAGTGATCATTTACAAGAAGACATTGATTTTGTTGATATCGTCACAGCTATAAAATCTGATCACTCTGCGATATCAATATCTCTAAACAGCATCCCAAATTGTAATTTCGGCCCATCCTTTTGGAAACTGAACAATAGCCTCTTAGAAGACACTGATTATCTTAACATGATTAAACAAAACGTCCCTCTCTGGGCGAAAGAAAATCATTATGACGATCCTAGACTTAAATGGGACTGGATTAAGTATAGAATAAGACAGGAATCAATAGTTTTTAGTAAAGCTAAAGCGAAAAGGAAAAGAGAAAAACTTACATTGATTGAAGCTAAGCTTAAGAAAGCACAAATAGATCATGATGCGATAGGTAATGAGGATTCCAGGAAATTACTAGAAAAAATCAAAATGGAATACAAAGCAATGTACGACTACATAACACAAGGCTCTATTATCCGTTCCAGGGCGCAATGGTACGAACTCGGAGAAAAAAATAATAAATATTTCCTCAATTTAGAAAGTAACAGATCCAAAAAAACATCAGTACGCAAACTTAAGATCGATAATAAATATACTACTCACCCGCATTGAAAGGCATTGAAAGTTTCTACTCAAATCTGTATCAAGAAAACACTGAATGTATATCTAGTTTTTATGAAAATCTTTTTGTAAACAGTAACACACCTCAACTCTCAGAGGAGCTAAAACAAAAATGTGAGGGTGAACTGACTTTGATGGAATGTTTCGAAACCCTAAATACTTTCAAAGACAATAAAACCCCAGGAAATGATGGAATTTCTGCTGAATTTTATAAATGTTTTTGGCCAATTGTTGGTTGTTTACTAGTCGAATCCCTTAACTTTAGTTACCGCCTTGGTGAGCTCTCGACCTCACAAAAACAAGCTGTAATTACTTTGATAGAGAAAAAAGACAAAGATCGCTGTCAACTAAAGAATTGGAGACCGATATCATTGATCAATGTAGACACTAAAATTGCATCGAAGACAATAGCCCGAAGAGTAGAAAAGGTCTTACCTCTAATAATCCATCATAATCAGTACGCTTTTGTGCAAGGTAGAACAATATTTGACGCTATTCGCTCAATTGATGACGCCTTAACATTCGCTAAATCAAAACAAATTGAGGCTCTCATGGTTACTATCGATTTTGAAAAGGCTTTTGACTCTGTAAACTGGAATTATCTTTATAACGTTCTACAAAAAAATAACTTTGGCCCTTCCTTGATCGCTTGGGTTAAAACTTTTTATATGAACATATGTAGTTGTGTCATGAACAATGGGACGGCAACACCCTTCTTTCAGATATCCAAAGGTGTCCGACAAGGAGACCCTCTTTCCCCCTACCTTTTTATCTTATGCCTAGAACCATTGCTTTCTCAGATAAGGAACGAAAAACAAATCAATGGGCTAACACTTAGAAACGAGAAAATAAAACTAGTTACTTTCGCGGATGATCTTACAGTGTTCGTTGATTCTATACAAAGCTACAACAAATTGATGGAAGTGATAAATCACTTTTCTTCCTTGTCAGGCCTGAAGATGAATAAAGAAAAAACTGAAGTTTTTTGCCTCGGTTCAGCCAATTTTTCGAACATTGAGCTAGGCGTAGAAGAAATTAAAAAACAAGTTAAAATCCTAGGAATTTTCTTTACATATGATAAAAACGCTTTCAAGAAGCTCAACTTCCACTCAATGCTAGTTAAAATCAAAGAGTTGTTTAAAATGTGGAAATGGAGAGGACTTACTCTAAACGGTAAAATTCAAATCATCAAGACGTTCGTTATCCCAAAATTGCTTTTTTGTTCCTCTGTAGTATCGATTGACGGAAGCTTTATCAATGAATTAAATCAACTCCTATATGGTTTTATTTGGAATGGCAAAGACAAAATAAAAAGAAAGTCACTTATAAATTCCTTTGAAAATGGCGGTCTGAAGATGCCTGATGTTGAATCAGCAGTCCTAGCCCAACGAATAATGTGTATCAAGAAATATATAGAAACATCCGCTGCCACATGGAAAACCTTTTTAGACTATTATCTGAATAATGTAGGTGGTAAAGTTCTCTTCAGTTGTAACTACAATCATAAAAAGCTCGATCTAAATCTCCCACTTTTTTATAGCGAATGCATAAAAGCCTGGTCTTTACTAAAACCTGCGCATGAGCCTCACTCAGTCAGCCAAATACTTGACGAATCAATTTGGAACAACCAATATATTTGCATTAATAAACAATCAGTTTTCGATAAAAACGTGTCCGCCAAAGGTATCAACAAAATCAGTGATCTTTACGACCAAAACGGATTGTTAAAAGTGCGAGTACTAAATACATTATCTCCAAGAGAAAGACTTCTAATAAATGGTGTTTTGCATTCGATCCCTCCGCTGTGGCTTTCAATACTAAAATCGAATAAAAAAAATATTGAACGTCAAAAACCTAACACTGGAGATAACATCGTTACAATTTTTTTAAATGATAAACGCTCTCCCTTACAAAAGATTTCTTCTAAACAAGTATACTGGAATCTCGTTGAACAGAAAGTTACTGACCCCACTGCGAAATCTTTCTATCAAAGCAAATTTCAAAAAGAAATTCAATGGTCCACTTTTTATACTCTTCCAGCCAAATGTTGTTTGGATAGTA